GTTATTATAAGTATTTACAGCTCAATTTAGTTTAAACATAAATACGACTTGGGCTCGTGTAAAATTGCTTGTACTTCCACTCATCCAGTAATAAAATAATAATTTTACCCAATTTTAAATTGAGCCGCGTATAACGTAATAAAATCGAAAAACAAAACGGAAGAAGTTTTAAAAACTAGTACTGTAGAAGGGTCTTCAAGCCCTTATTCCAATTCTGTGTTTCTAGTTACTAAAAATCAATGAAAGTGCAGTAAAAATCAAGAGGGGCCATATTAATGCGAAATTATAATAGGCTTTTGCAAACTTAATGAAATAATTTATCGTTAAAACTTTTCTTTGCCAATAATTAGTGATGTTAAAATACGGTATTTTATTTTTTCGTTGTATAATTTCGTACAAAACCTCGTGACACCTTTAAATTAGGGAAATGAACACTGAATAAACTTTAAAGAGACTTTATGTAACAGAACCTCAGTCAATTAAAACAACAGAAGTCTTACATATTATTTCTTAATGTGATCATTTACAAATAAAAACAAAATTATTACACATAGTAATAACTATGGTTTGCTATTGATAATGGAGGTAATAAGTTTAATAAGAAACATAATATAAATATTGTACAGTTAAAAGCTTTTATATTTATCAGTAATGAATAAAACTGGCGTTGAATAGATTTAATTCCGTCGATAATCAACGTAAATACGTAGTTTTTGGATAACATCGCACAAATCGGTTCCACAAGGAGTCCAATACAGCAACAATAAAAAGTTTTTAATCATTATTAATGATATTATAATTGAACTGAAGTTATATTTATTTTTCAAAACAGTTTCCCTCTTAATTTCTGTCTATCTTCGTCGTCCTTTTTCTTTATTGCTTCATTAATTTGAACTAATAGACGATTAACAGTGCTTTGCATGGATGGATCTAAATTAGCCAACTGTTTTAAATCTTCTTTAGCTTCGTCCATTTTCCAAACAGAAATATTTGCTTTACCGCGTCTAAACAGTGCTTTGACGTTATCTAAAAGTTATTCAAATGGTCAATTTAAAAATAATGGTCTTCTGAAAATTTAAATATTCTATTTATACTTGGATTATCATTCAAAATATTTGTGCAATGTTCAATAACTTGGTAATATTCTTTGGCAATAAGTTTGCATTGAGCCAAGTTCAATAACAATGGAGTTTTAATGTCATTAAGTTCATTCCATTCATTTTCTCGTGGTTTAAGCCTTCCTTACAAAAAAACAACACTTAAAAAAAAAATACACAACACATATACATGAATGAGATAGATTACTTCATCATAATTTGCTCTAAAAATCCAAGAGCTATCATGTATTTCTCCTCTGCCTCTTTGTACATCCCTTGATTGTAAAATTGATTGCCAGTTTCTTTTAATATGGGAATCTGCTTTATCTTCTCTTCTTCGTTCATTAACCACGTATCTTTTTCAAACGTTCCGGGTTGTTCGACTTTCAATAATTCTTTAACAGAATAATTCTTTATATTAATCACACGTTAAAATAAACAATAGTTTTCTTAATTAATAGAAATGTTTGACTTTCGAACTTAAAATTTAAAAAATCAAACCAAACTTTTTCTTTAAGCTAGTATATTCAAATATCAAGCTAAATTAATTTAATAATGGTATAAAAAATAAACATTTTTTCCCTGAAAATTATTAAACTGGTGCTCGGTTCGATTAAATATTTGGATTGTTAAGTTTGGTTCAAAATCGGGGTTTGTAACATCGCTATTATACTTAAACCCCCCTAATGGTAGATCATTGATACACTGGAGTATGGTATAGCATAATTTTGAGATGATTACTCAATAAGTACATTTTAATCAAAATGTTTTAAACTTCATGAATAGTGAAAAAATTACTAAGCTTCTTTTGCCGGAGACAAACACGCCTACTGTTGATTCTTTTAGTTTTCAGGATACTTTTACCGTATCATTAGAATATCAATTAATTTATTTTTGCCAATACGTTTACAAAGTTCACATTTTCTAAGTGTTTCAACGGTTTAGCTATCAAGGTCAACGCTGATATTTTTTCCTACTTATAGACTAGCCTTACTATATAATGTAATAGGTTTGAGTTATTAGTAATAACCTATGGTAAACTCCAAATCGACCGGTTCTGCCAAAAGACTGTTGAGGTCATCGTATCCAATGCCATTTTGTTGTAATTGAGCTGTGCAGCAATGGCTTGTTGTTTTTGGTGTTGTAGAACGACCGGCATCACGTAATGTCTTCGAAACAAAAGGATACGAAGATACCAACTGAAATGTGAAAATGATTTTTTTAATTGGTGTTTTATACTTGTAAAAATTTTAGTTGAAAAGTTTAATATACACTACATATTTTTCATTGAACAGTAACACATAATATCTCAATTATCCAAAATTTATTTTGAAAATTGCTTTACCGACATAATTGTATTTTAATTTGACATTCAAGTTATGTGTAAAAACACAAATTTAAGACATGTATCGTTCAATTTGAAAAAGATAAAATAATTAACTAGTATCAAGAAATAGAAATTAGTCTTAAATAATAAATACATACAACTGATATATTTTTTTATGCTTTACTTTTTCATCGAAACAAAAATACATGTATAATTTAAATAGATTAATTTCCAAGATATTATTTTCATACAATTAATTTACTATTTTGAAAGAAACTATGTGTTGGTAGAATATTTGCAGTTTTTATTGTTATTGGGTTCGCATTTGAAAGATAAGCACCGTAGGCACCAAATTCTGCCCCTACACCCAAAGAAAATCCTCAATCAAAATTGAAAGAGAAATTTTATCAAGGGTTTATGATAATGTTTTATTAATACAAACAAAATAACTATTCTTATAAATAATTATTGTTCAAGACAAGAAAAAAAAATATCATATTGATAAATATATCATTGATTCAATAGTAATGATATATTTATCAAATTGAACAATGAATTTATTATATAGATCGAGGTTTTTCTCTGGGTGTATACAACATGTTGAAGACCTATAGATTTTATTTCTTGATTTGCATTTTTTTTTCACAAATATTTAACATTTAAACACTATTATTATGGAGAGAACTTTTTCAAAGTTGCCGTTTTCAAACATGTCACCCGAGACACATGTACTCGATGCCTCTTGAAAAATGCGAATCTGATTATTGTCACAGCTAATTTAGTGAGTAGATCGTAGTGTATTGTAGTTATGTTGAGTTAAATAATTACTGTTCCATTCACGTTTAAATCTTCATTGAGGTTAAATGTACTATTTCATTCAACGTTAAAATTATTAAAGTGCAAGTGTTCTTGATGAAATCTAGTAAACAATGCCGTTATGTCAGTTCATTAACATTTAAACAATTTTTTTGACGAAAATAATGAAATTAAACTTAAAATAATTATAACAAATAATTAAACTTCTGGTATATTATAATGAGTAACTATTAAGTATCTGTTACGGTTCTAATATTTTTAGGCGAACAATTATATATGCAACTTTTTCGGTTACTAGGTATAATCGAACATGAACATCTTCAAATTTGAATTTTAAAGGAATATTGTGAATTTTGCGGATGTCTTCCTACAATGTATTTTTAACGATAAGATTATTATCATTAAGTATAGTATATAATTATTAAATTAAAATAAACAAAATGGGACATCTCGGAGGATAAAAAGCTTCATTTTCTACGGGTAGTCTAAGTTTCAAAATGAAAAAATAAAATAAAAGGTAGTATAATTAACACTCATCTGCCATTTTTATTAAATTTCAATCAATAGACGTATTTATAAAATTTGCATTATTTATATGCTTTTATAACCGTTAATAAGCAAATTTTATGTTGAAATAACTAATTAGTTGATAAATAATGAAACTATAAGTCACTCTTAAATAGCTGGTATCAATTCTGTAATTTTATAAAATGATTAATATTTATTTAAATGTATAACATATATTTTATAACGTGAAATATTTTATGTTTAAAACTAATTGTACAAACCATAATTATCTCCGAGTTTATAATTTATTATAAAGATAAAAATAATTAAATATACCAGTAAAACGCATAATAAATAAGTTGAATACTATTAATTGGTCATTAATAATAATATATATTTTAAAATATTATTATTTAATCTCACTTATTATATCATTAAAAATAAACCGAGTGTTAGTCAATAAGTTGAGTAATAATTATTCAAAAACTCGTACTCTGTAATTTTTACAATTGATAATATTACCAATAATTAATTTAAAATAATAGATATGAAAGATTCCTTAACACAATTATGATGTAATTAAATTTTACCTAAGGAAAATATTTCGATTGTAATATTAAAATTTTGTTTTAAAATCTAAAATTTTCAATTTTTTAACAATTATAAATTAATACTATTAAGGCAATAATATATTTAACTCTTACGACACATTTTTTCAGCATCATTATAAGTACAACAATCTTTAGTTTAAAAGCAGAACGGAAATAATAAAATATAATTTTAAGTTCAAGTATAAACAGTTAATTTTACTACAAAATGAAAACATGTTAATAACATCCTGTTAATTGTAGGTCGCATAAACATTAACCATTAAATTGTGCCCAGAGCTAACTTTCTCTTAAGTTCACTATATTTTATTGTACGCTTATTTTATTAAAGAGTTAAGCATCCTTTTACCAAAAATTCATGGCGACATTTCTCAAGTGGCCACTAAAAAAATAACTCAAATAGTCATTGTATTATGAGAATAAAACGTTTAGGTTATCATAGATTTGATAACTCTTTATTTTTTTTTTTTTAACACAACTCGCAAGAAGTATCTTCAAAAATGTTCAACACTATACAACTAACGAAAAAAACATTTTCATAGAATTTATCGTTATATAATTAAAATTATTTTATAATTTTTCAAGAAAAAGAGTAATATTTTAGAAATGTTAGAATGACAAATAAGTAAATGAAAACAAAGTGACTAACGAATCGTTCAGCAATTATATTTTTATTTATTTGGTACAAACGTGTTTATATTAGATAATTCATTAAGTCTAATTACGAATACCAAATGCGAACAATTTAAAAATAAATTCATCACAGTATTTTTTTCTTAAAGATTTATATAATGTATTGTAAGCACCATTGAAATTACAAAAACATTTTGTATGAAAAAAAAACCCACACCTCATTTATGAATATATCTATTTAATTTAAACAATAATTACAGAATTTTTCGCTAGTAATAAACTACTGTGTTACTAAATAAATTTACTAAAATAACACATTTAAACAAATAAATAATGGTTTAAAGAAAAAACGACCCCGTCATGTCAAGGTTTGCACTGCCAAAACGTTGTTAATTATCGTTTGAAGGCTACGATAAATATTAGAACCGCACAAACGACCCTTGATTTTTAATGGATAATAAATAACTAAAAAAAACGTCACTGGCTATTTCTAAAACGTCATTTTCCATTATGATTCTTTACGTTCATAATATCTTCTGTGCATTTCATCGATGTTGGACAAGTACCATGTTCCGGGGAATAGATCAGACTTATCGCAGATAGGCACATATGGCGCTTGGTGTAATGATTTTTGTCTTATGTCTAACACCTCAGTAAACTTTGCGGGAGTCACTTGTATACGGCGCTCCAATTTGTCAAAGCTTTTTTTCAAGTTCTCTACGAGCGCTGGCAGCGCAACATTATTGGTTATCTTAATGGAATACATGGACGACGCCAGTCCCGATCCATACGAGAACACTCCTATTTTCTTACTGACCAGTTCGTCCACTGGTATGGACACTAAATAAGAGGCCAAACCGCCATAAACTGATGGCGTATACATGTTGCCGACGCGGGACGCCAACAGCAGCGACGGTTTGGTCTTCCGCTCGAACGTGTCTTTACTGCGATCCATGAACGCCTTTTCCACGTCACGGTCAAAGTAAGTGTCGGCTAAGGCGATGTTAGTGAATTGCTCAAGCCCGGGGTACTCTTCGTACTTTTTATCGCTGTTAACAAAGTCGTTCAAGTACAGCCGAGCTAACGACTTTTGTACGAGTTTGCAATATGGCGTGTGAAAAACGAACGAGTCGAATGCATTCAAATTTTGTTTGGTTTCACATTTATTCAAATAGGACTTGTAACATTGGTCCAGTGCGTTCAAATAGCACTGAATGGACAATTTGCCATCGACTACTGGGTACTCGGACGTCAAGTCGGGCTTAAAAAAATCATAGGCGTGATTCATATATGTACCCCTGAGACCCCTTTCTATCACTAAGGGCGCGTCTGGGCCAACAATCATAGCTACAGCGCCCGCTCCGCCGGTTGGCCGAGCGTTGCCCTTAGCGTAGACGGCGATGTCGGCAGCTACGACGACGGCAAGGCGTCCGTCCCAAGCACTGGATTCGATCCACGCTAGCGCGTTAAACAAAGCGGCAGTACCACCGTAACACGCATTGGTCGTGTCAATACCCTCTACCCAAAAGTTACCACTAGGTTCAAACAACTTCATTAGAGCAGACTTGACGCTTTTAGATTTGTCTATAATAGTTTCGGTTCCTACTTCAAGGCGACCAATGTCCGAGTAGCTGATGCCATTGTTCTCGACCAGTTGGCTAACAGCGGTCAAGCATAATGAATTTATGTCTTCCAGGTCTGTGCAAAATCCCATTTGCTTTTGTCCCAGACCCACCGTGTATTTTCCTTCGGATACTTGGTCGTAGCGTTCCAATTCCGTTTGGTCGACATACAGCGATGGTATGACAAAATGAATAGCGCGAATACCCACGTCTTTTGGCCAACGGTCCATGGTTATGGAAAATTGCTCACCAATCTTAAATTATACTGACCTGTCGTTCAACAAAAAAACAAACAAACACATGGATTTAATACTACAGTCAATCACTAGCTAATGTTGATAGTTTCCAATAGTAGACAGTTAATAAATGTTCAAAGTTGTGCGCATTTAACAACACTTATGTAGAAGGTTAACTTAGTTTCACAAACAACAGAAGAAAACAACTACGAAAACATATCTTATAGTTAGTTATGAAAAAAAAAGGTATTTTTTAACCCGCAATTGTTATGTAATAGACATGATCTGTCGTCATTTTCTTTTTACATGTTAATTCTATGGAATAATATTAAGTACAATGGTTCTGACAGTCTGATACCAATGCAAAACACTATGAATATATTTGAACAGTTCAAACTTAACACTTAAGATGTTAAGATAGTAATTTTAAACATTGACGAATTTTTAAACATACTAGAAAGTAATAAACATAATAATGACAATTTTAAACTTTTTAATTTTACGCACTTTTATTTTGTTTAATTTTAACTATGTTCGCTTTATTATAAAAAAATTAATTTTCACACAATTAAAATTGTGTTTTATTAAATAAAAAGTTTATACAGCGTGATAATGATAAAAATCGTTGCATATATATATATATATATCTAATTTTTTTTTTTTGAAAATATAAAATTTCATTAAAAAAATTAATTATTTATTCGTATTAAGATTACAAATGTACTTATAAACATTTCATAGATAAATATTAATGAAAGATAAATACAATGTTAATGAAACATTGAAATACAATTTAATAATTTATTTGCATAAAATTCTATTTATATAATTTAAAATAAGTAATTTAGTCATTTTTGTCCTTAATAATAATAAAACAAGTGAAGAATTAAATATTCTAGGAGTAAAATTTTTCTTAAGAATTTCTTAAAAATTGATAATCCCAAATTGAAAATTCATTTCTAGATTAATTAAAAATTTAATGAGTATGAAAAATGTAAGGATACTATTTTTTTTACACTCATTTTTTACAGGGAATATTTGTATTTCTTGACAAAATAAAACCAATGCATTTTAATATGAGTTAATTTTTTTATTGAATGTACTTGAGTTAGTATAACACTTTTACCAACATTTTAATATCTTAATTTTTGAACTAATAACAAATTGATAGTACTCAGAAAAAACTGTAAAAATACAAAAATTTGTAAAAAAGTTTATGTATTATATATAATTCAAAAAAATAATTTAATTACATAGGTAAAATGATCTGAATGAAAAAACGGTTGGAATATATTACGGTATAGCCATTGTATGACATATTGTTTTATCAATGATCAAATAATTTCTTTGAATTGTGTATGACATTAATTTAAATTTACAAATTTTTTACTAAGGCAGTTCTGAGATATTATATTATTATTATAATAAACTTGAATTAAAATTTCATATTTATTTAAGGTTTTCATCATTTTCATACAAAATGTAAATTTTTACAATTAAGATATTAATTAATAAAACATCACTATGATAAAATAAATTATATTTTTGTGTTCAATTCTAGCTATACAAAATATTTAATAAATTAATACTTCAAAATAAGTAGTAGTGTAAAATTAAATTTCATTATACAAATATAGATTAGAGACGAGCCCTGATGAGTTTATTTTACATATAGCAATAATACCCATTTGATCATATTTTAAAATGAAACAATTTTTTTAAATGTATAATCTTATACTTTAAACTGTACGTAAAATCGGTTAGGTCTAATGAGGATAAATATGATTACCTAGAATTCAACTAGAGTTTTAAAAAAATATATTTTTTACATTTCTAAACTAATATATTTATAAGTTTATCTAAGTTTGAAATTTACATAAAGTAACAATATCATTTTACTAAATAAATAAAAAATGTTAATAATTACTTTATATAACTTAACTTTTGTAATAGCATATAAAATCATCTATTCTGTATAAAAATAATTAATTTTTATGATTTAATCATGAAAAAATTATCATATTAAAAGTAAAGTTTTATTATTATTATTATTATATATTAAGGTCATATCTAATAAACGCTGGTATTTTATTAAAAAACAATTCAATTGTAAGCTATAATACTTCATTTTAAAAATTATTTTATAACTAATTTTTCATATCTTTAATATGTTTAAAATAAAAAGTTTTAGAAAAACATTTTTTTTCAAAATTTCAAAAAATTTTAATGAAAATCTACATCTTGAAAATAATTATAAAATCAAATGGTGTATAATAATTCACCATAATTTAACCTTACAATTTATTAAAAATTAAATTTGTACGGAACAATGATAGATACTTACACTTTTGTGAACAACAAATTTAGAGATTTCTCTTTCACGCATTGACTTTAAAATTGTTTCCCAGACTTCTAACTTGAATTTTTTCCCTAAAACTATTTCCATGTGCTTGGGCCATTTATAACTATCATCAATTATATTACCATTAATTAAACGAGTTACAAAGTGGAATGATACCTATATTGAAAAAAAATACGAATTAAATAAATACATTTTACAAATAACTTTTAGCACTTAAATGATGAGTAATTTTCCGACTTACTTTTGTTCCGGATGAGAAAGTGGGCTGATCACCAATGCCGGGTGTCACGATCGTTTTCTGTATTTTATCGTTGAGAGTGCTTTCCATACTACTTTTACCGTAAGGCCGAAAATAAGACTATCCTGAAATCATATTGTGAGAAACCTTGACCTTAGAAATTAGAATTCAATGACCCTCACTCTACTTCGAGACTTCGTTTTTTCGAGTTAAATCCAGTTACTCTTATCATTTATTGGTTATTCAGGGTGATAAAACACGCCACGAAACATAACCAAAAAAATAATTGAACATATTGGTATATGGTTACATTTAACTCGCAGACATACTAGCTAGTTCAATTAATATATTTAAATTACTGATCTTTTGGTAAAATTAAAAAACCTCTTGGTATGGCTCTGATGTATTTATTTTTTTAATTAAGCATATTCTTTTTTTTTGTTTTACAGTGCGAATGAGCAATGCAACCAATGCAGTGGCCTAGGGCCTCAACTTAAATCCAGTAACGGTTGATAAAAACTAGAAAAAATGTTTTCTTTTACTATAATCATTTTTAAAAGTCCCGGCAGCATATTAACATTCTGCACACGAAATGTAACCCAGCAATAAATTTGCCTCTCTGATTGGCTACTCATTATTTATGATAACAGTTGATATCAGTAAACTATTATTATTAATATCTAGAAAACACTAATTTTATAAATTATTTATAAATATATTATTTAAAAAATGTAATAACAGAAATAAATTAGTGCGATTTTGCATTAGGCGTACAGTTAGTTATGTTTTGAAGTATATTTCTTGGTTTCTTCTTAAGGCGATTGTTTTCTGAAATTGCTGGTCTACTTAAAAATAAAAGTAACATGTTTGTTTAATTGACAAATGGTATTTATAAATTATACTCACCTGCCAAAAGACGTTTGCTTCCTTTTGTTATGTTTGGTTTCCTCCTAGAAATAGTGGTTGGCTTAACTCTTATTGTTGCACTATCTATTAGTCTTTAAGGTAAAGAGGTTCCTCCAGCATTGGCTAAAAATGTGTTAAACTGCCCTTCTGATTTTATTTTTTTAAATCTATTTTTAAATTTCAGTAAATTTTGATTGATCCTCCATACTTAGTATTATTATTCAACAAAATTTGATTGATTTCTTCTATTATTGGCAAACAAGTCTTTTCTGAAATAGTACTTTTTTCTTCAACCATATTGCCAAAGATGCTATTTTCATTAATATTGTTTTCTGTATTTTCTATTACATTTACTGGTTTTAATTTAACTTCTTCAACTGTCAATGCATTTTTATGAATAACCTCTGATGGTAAAAGATCTTCATAAAATGATGTATTTGGTGTTTTATTACTTAATGCTAATGGTGCAATTGAATGTTTATCCTCTATTGTAACAGGAGGGAAATTAACTCCAACTTTATTAAAAAACTTGTATACAATACCTTGATGTTTACAAAACTTTCCATACATTCTAGCTGTACACGAACAAATATCTATAGATGGCATAACACAATACATCAACTGTTTATTTTTTTGGCTTGGTACATAGTATTCTTCATTATCCACTTTAATATCTTCTTGGGTCACATAATCAGTTAATTTTGTAATTTTTTCAAAAAATTTACGAGCAGTTGCATTTCTATCATTTGAAAACTCGAGAAATTTTTTTCTATAATAATGTTCCAAATTGGTACAACAAAAATCAATAATTGAAATAACATTGTATGCTTTAACTCTACTTAATACATTTTCCTAAAAAATTCTCACTGAAACTTCACTAAAGTTGTTAGTGTGGTGGCCTCTATTTATGTGATCTCTCCACACTAAACATTGTATAATAATTAAAAAGAATGTATTAAATGTAATATAAATATTATAAAAGTAATTATTTCATATGTTGTTCATATTTTACCATATGAACCCCTTGACCAGTACGCGGACCTAAATTTAAAATCCTCCATTTATCATGCCAATTCTGTATAGTTCTATATGTTGGGTTCAATCGAGCGTTTGCAAAATCCTCATTGGAATGATTATTCATTGCCATAACACTCTCATGGTAACTATAATAGAAATTATTTTTGAAATATTAGCAAAAATCCTTAAAATGTTGCATTTAAAACTTTAAAAAAAAGTGTTTATTTTTAAAACTACTTAATTACATAATTTTTAAATTCTGTATTTTTATTTTATGGATTACATTATGCATACAAACCAAATAGCTTCAGTTATAGTCATTCCATCATTAAAATATTCTTCAAAATTTTCTCTGAAATTAGGAAAAGCATTTAAGCATTTTAAAGCCTCTGCTGTATTTATGTTGTGATTGTGTTCATTAAAAATTGTAATATCACCTAATAATTTTTCCTATCCATACATAAAATAGTCAATATAATAATACAACTACATTTAAAAAAATGATATTCTCACTACTTTTTATCATTTTCAAAATTTATAAGTATTTTTTTCAACACTAACTAAATGTAAAACTGTCTAAATTTTGACTTAACTTTAAGTGTATTGTTTCCTTAAATGGATTATACAAAGTCACATTTAAAAGTATGGAAATTAGTGTAGCAATCAATTTCAAATATTATTAAAATAGTTAAAAAAAGTCTATTATATTTTCTACATTATGTTTGTATATACTAACTTTAATGTAGGGATCAGTTTTTCTAGTTGAAACAGAATCTAGCTTTACCACAACTTTTATTTTGGCTTTACACTTAGTGTTTTTAGATTGTCCTCTTTTATTGTGTTCTTTGTCAACTTTATGGTAAGAGCTATGATGACATATAAATAATTTTCTATGAAACAGTTTTAAAATATTATATTAGTGTTAATTATTTATTGTATTAATCATAATTCAAAGAAAAAATTTATTTACTAACTTGCACTGAATGTAAGTTCCATTTGAAACAGAAGAACGGACATTCCATTTAGTATTAGTATTTAAAGAAAATTCATAAATCCAATTACTAATACTTGGTAAATCTAAAATATTTGACCTAACCAATGTATATTTTTAGTTAGATTCAATAATTTTATTGTTAAATGACGAAGGAAGGTTTTCAGAACTTATAACTGGATTCATTTTACATACAAATATAAAGGAAATATTACTAATAAATATTATAATAATAATTATATATAAATAATAATATATGAGATAATTCAAATATGTGCATTAAATTTTACTTAGAGTATTTATTTGTAAAAAGTTAATCAATTAACTCATACAAATATTTGTCCATTGTTTAAAACAATTCTTTTAATCTTTTTTTAAAACAATTATGAATTAAGGCGGCAAAATTCAAATTGTTATCATAAATAATGTGTAGCCAATCAGAAAGGCAAATTTCTTGCTGGGTTACATTTCGTGTGCAGGATGTTAATATGCGTCCCGGCACTATGTTTCTCGGTGTTCCCTTCATCATGTTTAACTAGTGCTTACAAATACGTAGTCAAAATAAAACTTTTATAAGGGAGCTTAATTTAATGTCCTCCTCATAGATATATTTTTATAAAAGCAATACATTTGATTTTTCTAAGTTTTTGGAATGCCAAATGGCTAAACCTCTAACCCAAAACACAAACTCTTTAGTGATGTCATGCGAGATAAGGACTAGACACAGAATAGATAAAATCTCATTTATTCTGTGGTCTAAAAGTGCTTATGACTAAACCACAGTCCGGCTAGTGATGAGTGTATTTAATATTTTTTTATAACACTAGACTTATATCCTAAGTGGATTTATCTGGTGTTTGGACATAGGTTACCAATCATTTTTAGCTTCGATGCGAAGCTGAGAAGGTATTGGTTTTACTAAGATGTGTTTTTTTTTTTAGCTTCGATGCTAAGCTGAGAAGGTATTAATTTTACTATGATGTGTTTTAGCTTCGATGCGAAGCTGAGAAGGTATTAATTTTACTATGATGTGTTTTTTATTTTTTTATTTATTTTTTTTTTTGTGTCTGTGAACGCTCAATCTCAGCTCTCGCTGGACCGATTTTGATGAACAATATGTCAAAAGATCACAAATCGTATCTAGTCGAAGACATTACCCTCAAAAATTGAAAAAAATTCCCTCGTTCCCCGTAAACGGGGGAAATCCCCCAAAAAATTACAAATTTAAAAATCGCTAATTTTCGATATTTTTTCAATTTTTTNTTAATAAAAAAAATACGATTTTTGTAAAAAAATTCTTTTTAATTTTTTTTACTTAAAACTGCCATAACTTTATCAAAAATGAACATATCAATATAACTCTTTTTTTTATAGATGCATGATGTCTTTACCTATCATTTGGTATTTTTTATTTTTATATATGACCCAACACGTGCCCACTCGGGGGGATTTAAAATGACAACTTTTTCACAAAAAATTAATTTTTTTAACATAAATTTTGAAAATGTTCCGGAAGGTCTGACACTTTTATATATATCTTAAATTAAAGCTAATGTAATATGCTTTATTATGAAAAAAAAAAATTTCGGACTTTATTTTGTCTTCAGGGTGAAATTGGCTACCAAATGCTATTATTGTGTGAAAATTCTCAATTTTATTTTTTACATTTTTAACATTATAAAGCTATAACTTATTGAAAAGTGTATTGATCAATATAATTTTTTTATGGGAAATACTATTTTTTAATAATCCCTTTTTCATTCGACATACTTTATCTTAATCAGGATATTAATAAGGAACTAGCAGTTTATGAAGCTTTTGGAATAATCCACCAATTTTTTAAAATTAAACACTATCTAAAGATTTGCATCGAAGCGTTTTTTTNAGGGGGGGATTTAAAATGACAACTTTTTCACAAAAAATTTACTTTTTCAACTTAAATTTTGAAACTGTTCCGGAATGTCTGACACTTTTATTTATATCTTAAATTAAAGTTAATGTAATCTACTTTATTATGCGAAAAAAAAATTTCAGACTTTATTTTATCTTCACGGTGAAAATGGCTACCAAATGCTATTATTATGTGAAAATTTATATTTAAATTATATATAAATTTATTATTTATATATAAAATTTTTTATATTTTTAACTTTATAATGCTATAACTTATTGAAAAGTGTATGGATCAACACAATTTTTTTATGTGAAATAATATTTTTTAATAATTTCTTTTTCATTCAACATACTTTATCTTTATCAGAATATTAATAAGGAACTAGCAGATCATGAAGCTTTTGGAATAATCCACCAATTTTTTTAAAATTAAACATTATCTAAAGATTTGCATCGAAGCGTTTTTTTTTATAGTGATTTTAATCACTGTCAGATATCATTATACTTGATCCATCTATACCACGTCACCACTGTGCCGCGCCCACCTGTGCTGGGTTTTTTTTGTTTATATCATAGTATTTTAAGTAGGGATGTAAATGTTTTACGCAAAATTTATGTATCGAATTTTTATTTTCATTATAACAATGCTAATAATTTTGAAAACTTAAAAAAAATCGATGTAAATGTGTTAATAACGATATTTTTATTAAATTAATAAAAAAAATGAAAATGATAAAATTTTGCTTATACTATAGGTCAAGTTTTTATTGAAATCGGAAACGACCACTAATTACATTGGAGAGTTTTAAATCCTCCATTTGTTATTTTATAAATTATAAATTAAAAATAAAAAATATTAACTTTTGTTTATTTAGAGATTGTGGTTCTTTTTCTTTAAGTAGATGGTTAAACTTTTCTTAATGTTCCGTTAAATTTGTTGTATTCTCAGAAGTTTACAACAAATTGCCGTAGAATTTACACATAGCACTTGTTAATTATTTTTTTCGAATATTGTATTACTTTTGTTTTTTAAATTTCGATTGAGTTCAAATAAATTTAGTTTAAATAAAACATAGTAAACGTAAAACGTAATTTTAAAAAGACATATCAATATTTTCTATATACCAGGAATCGACAATAGACTATCCAAATACGGACCGTGGGGCAAATAAATGGTGGTGCAAAAATATTTTTAAGATATTATATTTTTTACATATTAATATAAATAATAATAATAATTTGTTTTTTCTTTTATTAAAATGTATAATTTTACATTATTATAATGCTCAAAAATACTTTTAACACACATTATATGAAGATGTTCAGAAAAATAATTTTTATACTAGAAATCTGTATATTTGATCACAGATAATAATTATGTTTTTTATACGAGAGTTTATTCTTTATTTTTTCTATAGTATGACTTATTTAGACCAGTAGTCTAAATACTAAAACTATCTAACATTATGTCAACGCGTGTATGTAAAGTGATAAAACTTAAATCAGTTCAACTGCGGTCAATGGTGTAAAACTCGGAAAAAAGTAAACATCGAGATCAAAATATCTGTATAATTGGAACGTCAAACTAAAATATCAAAATATTAACATCGATTATTCTTAGTGAAAAAATCGATATTTAATTACCATTCCTAATCATAAGAATTACTAACCAGGGTGATAGACTGTGAGCTGAGGCACGATGGAATATATGACTCTTCGCCTGTTTATCCGCCATGCATAGATCAATTCTTTATCAACATGTTCATAAAAAAACGCGGGATTCTAATAAAGAGTACATGAAAAAGACACTGACATGGGAATAATCTAATTTTTCATTATGCTTAACTTTTGTAAATTATAAAAAGGTTTTGTACAATCTTATCAGGTGAATTTTTCAGTAGTTAAGTAACTGTTGAATTTTCAGAGACATTTAATTTAGTAATAGTTTGTAATATTAATTAAACTTTGTTCATCATCTTATAAATAATTAATATTTTATTATGGAATCAACTATTTTTCCAACTCGGACGTATGTCAATGGATCATACTTACACAAATTTGTTGGAAAGTCCATTACCCTAATAGCTACTGTGTTAAAAGTAAATTTTTATTTAATGTATTTTTTTAGATTTTTAAATCCTGTCAATAAAAATAAAAATAAAAAGTTTTTTAACTTCTAATAGATAGGTGGAAATGAAAAATCTCTTACTCTTCAAACTACAGATAATCAAGTTGTAAAAGTCAATTTTCAAGAAACAGTGGACAGTGAAATAGATTCTTTGGTTGAAGTTCAAGGTTATGTAGCTGACAAAACTACTATTAATGGAACTTATTACATTAATTTGCCATCTACTATAACTCATGATTTTGGTAATTATCTTTTTAGTTTATATTTAAGTTTTATAAATTGAATTATTTAAAATCAATAGGGCTTTTTTAAATTGCTTAGGTGACAAAATTATATAAAATACTTAATAATATTATAAGGGCTTTACATATTGATAATTGGTATAGAAAGTGATTCTTTTAATAGAAGTCATTCTATTTCTCTTAAAATAATAATTATGTTAACAAACTTATTTTTAATGTTATTTAGTGTTGTATATTTCTTGATTTATCAGTTATTAATTATTTTTAAATTTATTTCATAGCTTATTAAGGTGTCGACTTTATTTTTTTAAATGGCAACATACATATTTTAATAGTTAAAATATTTGAAAATGATCCCAACTAAGAAATGACTGGTCGAAAACATCTTTTGGATCTAGTCTGGAGGAAGATCTGGGCTATGTTATTTTTGATACTAAACATTACTTGGCCGCTCTCCTCCTTAGATATAAAAGGTTTAATAACTTCCAAAATACTGGTTCAAAAATTGTTATCAACCAGTCATTTTCTTAATTAGTCCACTATCTAACAAAAAAATTAATTACTAATGTTCTTTAAAAAAATATTTAACTTCTTATTAATTAAGAAATAAGTACTACATAAATAATCTTAAAAGAATAATCTAACAGAATATCATATATATATATATATAGTGTTAGGTTTTTATAAAGTGGCAACAATACTTCCACGGAAACATTTCTGTAAAAAAAATCAATTTAAAATAATTATGTAGAAGGTGTGCACAATAGACCATTGGTCTAAAAGCACGAGCAGTTCTTGCCTACCTCTGTAATAACTAAAATTAAAACTTCGTTTTACAATATGGATTTAATATAGAAGAAGTTAATTATTAATTTGGTTATCATAGTATTGAAGGCAACAATAATTTGTTTCAATAGGCTATAAATTATTATTAGTATTTATTATTACTAATGTAAGTGACAGATATTATAAATATGAAAATATTTCTTCCTCATTAAAATGCAGTTGTCAGCATTTTGTTAGTTAATTTCAATAAAAAGAATTGTATTATCTTAAGTATTCATTTTCTTAAATAATAAGCTCCATTATATTAAAAAATGGCCTTATTAAACTGACTTATTAAATCCTTAAAGATAAGGATGGCAATAAATACAATAAGTATAAATGACTTACAAAATAAAAAATTATAATTTTTACTTCAATTAAGTAGTAAAAATGTTTAGAAAATATGATAAAAAACACATGCGATTTAAAATATACTTTTTTTTGTGGTTTTATATGGAAAACAAAAACTTAGAAATTGATTTCCTAGAAATGTAAAGATGTCTCTTACACTTCCGCATTCTATGTTCCTCTCATACTAACCACAATTTCATTACAAAATTTAGAAACATTACCATTTTTTATAATTTTCATTTTATTGTATAAAATTTGTTAGTCACATAATTATAAATTTATTTACTGTTTTTTCAGATAAAGGCAATTTTGATGAAACTGTTAAATTTATCAACAACATAACCAATCCATTTAAATAAATTGGTAAACTCCTTAATTGTTTATTTTTAAAACTATTTTTTTTTTCTTAGTATTATGTTTTATTTAATGTACTTATAATTTATATTTTTAACAATTAATTAGAAAATAACACTGAAGCTATTATATAATTATTATAATTATAAATTGAATGTCTTCTATGTTAAGTTATTTCTTACTGTAAAAAAGTTAATAATAAATCTCATTATTCGATTTTAACAAAATAATTGTACAGCATTAGTAAAACTAAAAAATCTCCAAGTATTATTATTTTTATGTTTATGTTTAATTTCCTTTCTAAAAGTTTATGCTTATATTAGAAAAATGAGAAAATCTTACTCTTAAGAGTATGATGCATTACTAACTGAGCTTAGTAGGCCATATTTTATAATATTATAAGTCAGGATGATTACTGAGTAGTGTCATTATATTAATTTATCGTTACACCACTTTTTACACAATTTTTTTAAGAATATTTTAAGGTTATATAAAATTTTTTTCAACATATTAATAATGACTTTTCAAAGTATCAAGTATAGGTTTTTAGTAAACTATTTTTTTAATTTAATTGTGTTGTAAGTACATTTTATGAGTAAATATAGCCCATGTAAATTTCAAACAGAAATCACTATAAGCTAATTCTTATGTAATCTCGCATGCATTTAGCATTTTATGCACTGGGCTGTAAACATTTTTAATTATATTGAACTTGACATGCAATTTTTTATGTAAAATATCAAAAAAATTTATTATCAAAACAATTAAAACAAATTTTATATTTGCTTTACCTTTTCACAATAGATATTTGAACTTTTTCTATCTTAAAAAAAAAAAAAAAATTAATTGAGTATAACTGTTTAATATTGGTAACAAAATTGTTTATACACATTTTTATATTATATAAATTTGAATAAAATTAAATGGAACTAAAATAAACTTCCATACATTAATAAACTTTCATAGTAAGTAAAAAGAATACATCACTTTGTGCAAATTATTGTTTCAAAAATAAAAATATACAATATTATTTTTATGTTTTTAAATTATATATTTAACATATAGGATAATATATTTAATTATAATAAATAAAAAAAAAGTAATTTCAATATACGTCATTACATATATTTTATGAACTAAAATATAATGATGACTGAGTACTCTATATATAATTTATACTATACAAACAGTCCATAAATAGATAACAATAAGAAATATAATACACAAATAACAATTATTTATAGTTATATATTATAATATTCATAAAAATAATGAAAAATACATAATAATATTGTACTTAATAATTAAAATTTTTTTTTTTAACATTTTCCTGTATTACTGAGCACAGTAGGTTGTTAACTTACATTATAATTTATTTTTCAGTATTCTAATAAATTTTGTTGTACATAAAAAAAAACTTTAATTGGTATAGCCACATTTTAATACTGTTAATTATTAATTAAAAAATAGATTCTGCTGATCTTGATAGATGAATGGGATGGGATGGGCTACGAGCCAAACGTTTTCGTGGTAACCGTTCAAGAGTTTTTAGCATTTGAGCAAAATCAGGACGTTTTCCTGGATTGAACGACCAACATGTCATTAATATATCCTAAAATGTTTTAAAAAATTACTATTTATTATTTGTATCATAAATTCTAATATATCTCATTCCTGTATTTAAAATAATTTGGTTTAGTATGTCTAAAATATTAATTAAAATTTTTCAACTTTAATCTCATGGTTTTTATTTAATCTAACTGAATCGATGATTGCAGAAACGACATGAGTCAATTTTTTAAAACTTTTGGATAATTGATAAAAAGTGTATAATTTAAATNATATTATTGTTTCTTAAATTTTATTCAAATCAAAAAGTTACTCAAACATGATTAACTGATCTACTAAAAATATTTTAAATTGCTAACTGAGAAAAAATTTTTTTACTATAAATAAAAATTTAATATTTCAAATAAAAACAAATTATTTTGGATTATAAGAAATTAAAAAACACCACTAAATTTATAACACAGTTTCAAAAATCATTGTATAGCAAATGATAATTTTAAAATTATGTTAATTGAATTTTATAAATTTGTCATTCAATAATATACCTTCACATCACCAGATGCTTCCAAGTTTGCTAATCTCTGTTTCATTCCTCGTCCAATATTCCAAATTATAACTTCTGGGCTAGCTGATTTGAATGGCCATTCCCCACACAACAATTCATACCATACAGTTCTAAAAATTGAAAAAAAAAACATAATATTTGAATAAATATGTATAACATAACTGAAATAAATTACACATTTAAAATACACCATACTTCAATGATAATAGTTTTTGCTATTAAAAAAACATACCCAAATGCATAAACATCAGATGCTTTACTGAATGGCAAATCTTCTTCTTCGGGTCTTTGATGAACACGTAAATTACGAACTAATTCAGGAGCCAAATAGCATAGCCATCCAGGTGGAACAATTAAACCATCTTGAGTTCTAATACATTAAAAAGATATAATACATAATTTAATTGTTATTAAAATATTATTATGTATTACCTATTTCGAAAACATAATCTTGTTACACTAAATAAACCAAAATCTGTAATTATTACTTTGCCATTTTCTAAAAATATATTTTTGCTTCTTAAGTCTTTATGAATAATTCCTTTTGCATGTAAATAACCCATACCCTAATTACATCATATTTTTAAAAATCAAATAATCATTTTAATAATTAAGTAAAAATTAGAAGGAAAAAAAAAAAATTTACATCTAAAATTTTACCTGTGATATTTGTTGAGCAACCATTGTAGTTCGACTCATATTAAATTTATCTTTAAGAACATGTATATGACGATATAAAGTCATTCCATTTGCAAGACTTGTTACAATAGCTAACCTAGGAAGTTTCATGCAAGCGCCCATGAATAAAATTAGATTTTCATGGCGTGTTTTCCGAAAAGTAGCTACCTAAAAAAGTCATATTTCAATTTAATTTTAAGTAAAAAAAATTGTATATTTACAAAACACATGGTGAATTTAATAATTAATAAGAACAAAAACAGAATATATTTCTTGAGATATAATAGAAATTTTAGATGGTTAGTGATTATGTAATAATAAATTATCATACCTCCTCTCTCAAGACTGTCTCAAATCTCGAAACATGTTCATGATGTAGTAGTTAATTTATTGTTTCTTTTATGATTTTATTGAAAATTTTTTTTCAATTTTCACTTTAAAATTCAATAATTTTTTTATCCCTCAGATTTGTACATCAATTTAAATGAACTTCATTTATTGATGACAAATACTAATGTGTAAATTTAACAATTAAAATTAATTCAATAGTTTTTACTATTGGCCGATTGGCTTTTTGTAAAAATCCTTATATTGGAATTGCATAACTTTCTTAAAGAGCGTATGATATACTATTTTATTACTAGAAATTCAGGTATAAAATGCATCATAACTTACTTCAGCTTTAAATGCTTCTAAAGTTTTTTCATAATCTAAATAATCCATATTTATCACTTTAATTGCAACAGGTCCATGCCAATTTCCACTATATACAGTACCAAAATGACCTTCTCCTAATTTGTCACACATATTTAATTCATCCCATGGTATATCCCATTCTTGTAGAGAAAGCTAAACGCATATGAGGTGAATTACTATTAATATATGAACTCAAAACCCTTTTATTTTAATAATGAAATTTTAAATGTTTTATTTTAATAATTATTTCCTATTCTTATATGCTTAAACGATTAATCTGCAAAATCGGTCCAGTTAGAGCTAAGAAAAAATGATGTTAAATACAAAGTAAAACTAATACCCTCTCAGCTTCGGATTAAAGTTAAAATACAAATATTACATTTACTAGGTTTGAGCTAATAATTTGATATAAAATATCAAGCAATATGATATTGGTTTTATTAATATTAAAAATTGTTTATCCAATATTTATTTTATAATACTGAAAAATGTTTTATTCTTATCGAATAATAATTCAACATTGCAATAGTTTAATCTTTTTTAAATTAGATTACTTTTTAAAGATTTAAAATAAATGTTATTTTTTTGTACTGTAAATCTTTTGAATAATGAATATAATATGAATTATCAATGATTACATAACCCTATAGTTTTATATTCAGTTAATAAGTATTATTTTTATTTGATAAAAATTAAAAATTTTAATTGCATTTTATAATTGTCTTAAGAGCAATATTTATTGTAAGATGATGATTAATTGCCAGTAATAATAGTTTATTTAACATCAGAAAAAATTTATATAAGTTCATCTATAATTTTACTGAAAACATACACTATTTTGTCTTGGCCATCCTCTAGTATCCATATCATCAGCATCCCAATTTTGAACTTCAGAAACATCTATTCTATTAGAAGTGTGTTCTGAATCTGAACTACCACATCTCGAATCAATAAATCTACATTGATTTTTCTGATAAAAAAAAATACAATTTAATAAAAACTTACAGGGGAAATTTCCAGTGTTACTAAATATTTTTAAATTTTACTTGTAAATCTTGTGAATAAAGAGATGTATCAGGAAATTGGAATTGTTCATGAGTTCTAACTGGAGTAGGTAATGAAGAAACATGTGTTTGCCTGGTATTGACTAGAGCAGGGCTAGATGGAGTTGAGCTGTTTGTACTAGATGGAGCAGAGCTTGACTCAGCTCCACCACTCTTAGACTTTAATGAAAATGTTTAAGTAAATAATAGTAATTAACTATAATGAAAAAAATACTTACAGACATTGGTATTGAGTTAATGGAAGGAATCCTAGTTTTTCTCCTTGAAAGTAATGAAGAAGAAGTTTTATGAGATGTAGGTCGGTGAAAATTAGGAGAATGATTATTAGAAGAACTTAAAAATTCTGAAAATATATAAATAATTAACACATTTAACAAACACTGAAAATGTATACTTAAACCTAAAAAATAAACTAAATAAACTAAATAATTAAAAATTAAAAATTATTAATTTTTTAATGTCCTTTCAACTAAGCAACACATATATTGTATTAGAGAGGACGGAAAAACCCATAAAGTTTGGAGGTAAGGAATCAAACCTTGATTAGTTGTATACTGATGCATGATACAATCTCGATTATGCTATAAAAGCCACAAAATTTAAGCCTATTGATGATCTTAATGCTTAAAATTTATGCTATATTTTATAAAATTTAGTCCTAAAGAGAAAAACTCTCATTTTCTTTATTTATAACCATAACCATGAAAGTACATCTAGAGTAGTATATAGAGTATGAGTTTTATAAAGGAGAATACGAGGTAGGTGAAATAAGGAGACCAATGACAATAGGCGAGGACATGATTGGAGAGGTGGAATGTTTTAGGTATTTAGGATCAGTTGTGCAAGAGCGGTGGTTTTGACGAGGATGTAAGACACAGGATTAAGTGCTAGTGGTTGAATTGGAGAGAAGCATCTGGTGTCTTATGCGATAAAAGAAATCCATTGAGGCTGAAAGGTAAATTCTACAAGACTGTATGATGTAAGGTTCAGAGTGTTGGGCAGTTGATAAAAAAGTAGAGCAGAGAATGAGTGTAGCAGAGATGAGAATGCTTAGATGGATAAGTGGAGTGACTAGAGAAAATAGGATAAGAAATGAACATATAAGAGGGAGTATAGGAGTAGCATCAATCGTGGATAAGATGAGAGAAAATCGACTTAGATGGTTTAATCATGTTATGAGAAGAGAAGAATCGAAAGCTGTAAGAACAGTTATAGAAATGAATGTTGAAGGTAGAGGAAAACCAAAAGAGATGGAGGGATGCTATTGAATGCGATATGAGGACAGCTAATGTGGAAATCATGTCAAGTGGAAGTTTATGATAAGGGTGGCTGACCCCAAGTAGTTGGGATTAAGGCGAGGAAGAAGAAGAGCCATGAAAGTACATCTAGAGTAAAAACATAATGTATTTTAAACAATTAATTTCCAACCCTTTGAAAAAAAAGTTTAGGATCAAAATATAAAACCATTATTTTTTAATATTTTGAAATAACACCATAATGATACTACTCAAAATTACTAAAATAACAAATACCTAAATGTACTTGTTTATCTGTTATCTTGCCATTCTACAGATGTAAAATATTTAATTTTAATAATTAAATAATAAGTATATAATAAAATTAACCCAACTTAACTCAATACTGAAACTTTTAATCTCAAATAATATTACCTTCAAAAGTTTGGTTATTGTCATCTACCATAACACTCTTTGTACACTGTAATGATGCTAGTTTTGATAGGCATCCTTTATGATATCTATACTTGCAAATTTTACATTTGACACCTAGTAAAAATTAAAAAAATAAAATGAATTCAACAAAATTATTGTATAAAACATTGATTGTCAACGTTTGTTAATGAATATGGCACCCAAAGAAAAAGATTATATAAAATTTGATTTTTTTATTAATAATTATTTGTATAAAATATGAAACAAATAATTTCAATAAAAATTTAAAATTACATTTTATAACAAATTTAAATATAAATTAACTGTTAAATTACTTACCAACAAATACTCGCACTGAACATTGGTCGCAATAACCGAACATTGGCAGTAAATTTGAAAATTTGTGACCTGTCTTAATACAAATATCAGGAACTGAAGATTTGGGAGACTGTGGCATGCTAAATCCATTAGCTGCAGTTTGTATATTTCTATTTGGACTCATTGAAGATGTAAAAATTGAAGTATCAATAGGTTCATTTAATGAAGAATGAGTAATGATTCCATTTTGACTGGATTTTATAAAGAAAAAATTAATACTGTATTCATAAAATTTCATTCATAATTCATTAAACTTACTAAATTCCATCTACTTGATTATTATCATGAGACTGAGTAACAGAAAAAACTACATCTGGGTTTAAATTTCTTTGATTTTTTGGTGACGTTAACTTAGAAATAGAATTTTCATTAGACCCTAAAGTAAAATAACATTTCATATTACACATTTTAAAGAATAAAATAAGTTATTTATGTTCCTTACTATGTGTATTATTAAATAGAGTAGGAGTTAAAGGAGGAGTATAATGGATTACATGAGAATTCCTAAGACGACAAGACGATGAAGGTGAATGACCTTGAATAGAAGAAGGGGAGTGTCCTGCTTGCTCACATCTTACTTCATATTGACGATACCATGAGTCCCAATATAAAGTCATTTTGCATTTTTCACGAGTTCTATTGCCAATTCTTATAATTTCTAAATTACAAACAATATATAATTTTTTATACCTCATTTACTATTGTCAACATATTAGATTCTAATAAATCTGAATATAGATTCAAGTCTACAAACAAGTGATATTATTTAATATACTTCAAGATCTTAATAAAATAATTAACTTTCATAGAGAAATAAGCAGACACTTATAAATAGTTTTAAGATTTTGATAATTGTTTAAAATAACATCAGGATTCTAGTTAGATATAATTAAATTTTTTATCACTAAATATATGATTATTTTCTTTCCTTAGACTCTTTACTTGTCAACTGTAAAATCAAAATATCATAAAAGTATTTTTCATAACAAATACAAAATTTACTAAAAAAAACTGTTTAAATTTTTTTTTATTATGAAATCATAGACTTAAATTTTTTCAATAAGTGGCATTTAAGATCAAAACATTATAAGTAAATTCATATAATTTATACAAAAATTAAAGAAATTACAATTACATATTCATCAATATATATTCATTAATATTCAAAAATATTTTTGTGTCTTAAGGCATTTCTTACAAAATTTATATCCTTTATAACCTTTAGTAATTTATTTATAATGTTACATGGTAAAAAGTACATTTTTAAATTAGAATTGTTTCTTCAATTTAACATTTGTAATCAAACTAAAATTTTATCCTTTAATTTTGTTTCTTACCACTGTATTTCTTCAAATTAAATGAAGCTCTTGTTAATCGTCTAAGTTCTTCATCTTTAAGTGAATATTCTGGAAGAAGAGACTTAAGCTCACTTTCAGATTTTAATAATAATACCTCTATTGAACTAATACTATCACATATTCTCTGTAAAAAATATGAACAAGATTCATTAATTAAAAAAACAAATTATAAATTAGGCTGCTATTTAAACACTTACTTGTACAGATAAGGTACTGAGTCCAACTACTTCTAACCATTGTTTTAATGATGGTGTATTTTTTAATTTTGGCGATTCAAAGCGTCCAGGATTTTTTTGCCTATTATTTAATTGAACTGAAAATAACTTAACAAGTTTACCCTACAAAATTAAACAGTATATATTAATAAAAAACATCATTGTTTGACAAAAATTGTTTACCTCCAAAGTTCTAATTTCATGTTGTGTAAGTTCTGCTCGAGTTTCACATAAATTCCTAAGGCTGATCAACATTTGTGAAGAAATGTCTATAAGTGTTTGTACCACTTCAGGTTCATCACACATCAACTGTCTGTCAAATTCTTCTTCCGCCATTCCATTATATAATTATTGCACAATATACATTTTTATTCTTCGTTCTTTTCACTACACGTATCAAAATATGTAGTAAATTAAGCAAAAACGACTAAAAGAGGAGAGCACAATTGACTACTATCACAAAAACAGGTCAGAAAAGTCAGTGTCAGATAAAACATTATTCGGTTATTATAATTCAAGGACGCTCGCTGTAAATGTTACCGTGGTTCTACACATAATGCAAAGTAATTTCATTATGTCGTTAAAATCGAATATGTATTGTTATATCTCTATGTGAGTTTATAAAAATTCACTTTGATCATTATCATTATTAGCATAGTTTAGGGCATAAAGTATTACTCTAGGGTTTAAGGAGACGGAGGGCTTGAGACCCAATGGGCAACACGTGTAATCGCCCTGGATTCATCGGTAAAATATTTATATTTTTAATATGACTTTGAAATATTCAACTCGTTTTAGTATTTGTTTAATAATTACACTATTTTTCTTATGACGATTATTATTAGAGTTCATTAAATCACTGATCCTTCGCAGGTGGTATAATATAAAAAGTAATCTATAGAAATTAATGTTGTGATTTATTCATTACATAGCTAATCGTATTAGAGATAACTGAAACGAAATGAATTATTGCTGTAATACAATTATCATTAGGATATTCTGTATTTTGATAATTTTATTAGTTAGCGTTGTCATTTGTACGATATTTTAGAGTATCTGCAAGATGTACAATAACAATTAAGTATCGTACAGTAAAATACGATAATTCTCAAATTGGCGAGAACAACCCATGAACCTCATAGGCTCACAGTCGCTATTAGCGGACACGGGCTTATAGCTACCAAAATGGTTAGCGATCTACTAATCATGGTCCATTTTTTGCTCTCTATAAAGTTTTATATTAATTATGTTAAAACCATAGACTATATATTTATATATTCTGCGTTAATATAAAAGGTAGGATTAACTTGGAATGTTTTTTAATTTGTTAAAGTTATTTAAATTTATTGATAAGGACCACTGACTAATTTATCTAATAAAATACTAATGTCTATATCTTAAATGTGAAATCTTAACTGTCCATCTTAAAATAACCAAGATAAATTAATAAAAAAATTTATTTATCACGCTAATTTGTTTACAATTTAAATACTTGTATTTTTAGATTATTATATTATTATTTATAGAAATCACATTTAGTTAGACAGTTTAAGGTAATATAAGTTTTTATTAGTATTAGCGTCACTAGATTATTAATTGATGTACAATTACGTTTAAAAGCTGTAGTACAATGTTATATAATTTATTTTGGAGTACTTGTCCCATCATTTTGTGGGGACGATAAAAAGAATGGGACATATAAATGTAACATATAATTCTTTTAACAAGTAACCTGTAATCATATATAACAAAGATATGCAATATCAAATGAATAAATAGATGTACTAACAAATAAATATCTATTATAATCAGCATAGTTATTACAGTAGTTAACTATTAATAAAAAAACCCAGCACAGGTGAATCGCGGCACAGTGGTGACGTGGCATAGTTGGATCAAGTATTATGATATCTGACAGTGATTAAAATCACAATAAAAAAAAAAATGCTTCGATGCAAATCTTTAGATAGTGTTTAATTTTAAAAAATTGGTGGATTATTCTAAAAGCTTCATAAACTGCTAGTTTTTTATTAATATCCTGATTAAGATAAAGTATGTCGAATGAAAAAGGGATTATTAAAAAATAGTATTTCCCATAAAAAAATTATATTGATCAATACACTTTTCAATAAGTTATAGCATAATAAAGTTAAAAATTTTAAATACAAAATCGAATATTTTCACACAAAAATAGCATTTGGTAGCCATTTTCACCCTGAAGATAAAAGAAAGTCCGAAATTTTTTTTTTTCATGATAAAGTATATTACATTAGCTTTAATTTAAGATATATATAAAAGTGTCAGACTTTCCGGAACACTTTCAAAAGTTCAGTTGAAAAAATTAATTTTTTGTAAAAAAGTTGTCATTTTAAATCCCCCCCTGTGGGCAGGTAAAGTCTGATTTATAAAAAAAATATACCAAAAGATAGGTAATGACATCATGCATCTACAAAAAAAAGAATTATGTTGATATGTTTATTTTTAAAAAAGTTACGGTAGTTTTTAGTAATAAAAATTGAAAAAATTTCGAAAATTAGCCATTTTTAAATTT